GGGGGGACGGGGGTCGGGGTTAGAGTCACCATAACATTGCTCATGCTCAGGGGCAGGTGCGGGAAGGTCGAACGTGTATGAGGCTGCACGGGCAGAGGCTCAGGAGCGGGATGGCAATTGCAGAAGATCAGGCCCCCCTGCCAATGGGCTGGGATGGTATAGACTGTCTACCAAAGTTTGCGAAGAACAGCCCCTCAGCCCCCAATCGCATAGAGCAAACAGAGAGTCCCGCCTCATCCGTCACACCGGCCCACCCGCACCCGCACCTGTCAGTATGCTGACTGCCGCCACAATGTGGAACGCCACCCGCCACCCCTCCCACCCCGCCGCCGCCAGCGCCGCGCTCGCGCCCATGTTCGTCGCAAACACGCTGCCCGCGAGCCCGCCGATCGCCCCCGTCAGCTGCATCAGCCCGAATGCGCGCCCGCGGCGCTCGGGCGGGTGCAGGTCCGCCACCAGGGACTGGCAGCAGGGGACCAGCAGCGCGAGCCCGAGGCCGTTGACCGCGGCAAAGGCCATGGCGGCGTGGAGGCTGTGGGAGGCGCCGATCGCTGACGTCATCACGCCCCAGATGAAGGCGCCGGCCGCCAGGACGAGCCGCCGGTCGGACCTTGGGGCGCAGGGTGGGTGTTGAGCGGAAGGCGGGAAGGCAGGGGGCTGGGTTGGCCAGCAGGAGTGTGTGCGTGTGCGTGTGCGTGTGCGTGTGCATGTGTGTGTGTGTGGGGGGGGGAGGGCACCAGCGGGGCGGGCGAAGCGAAGTTTGTGTTTGCGGTGTGTTTGCAGCTGTTTGAACACACAAATTTGAATCGTGTCAGGATACCCCAGAAAGCGCCTGCTGCAGCGGGAACGCAGACAGGCTGGATGCGCTTGCTGCACGGCGGCGGCGGCGGCGGCGGCGCGGCAATACGAGGGGTCACAGCGCGCGGCGTGCGCATGCACACCTGTCGCCGAGGATGCCGCTGAGAGGGGAGGCCAGGGTCTGCACCAGTGCGCGGCAGAGCGTGAGCGTGCCCAGCTGCGACGGCGTCGCGTGGAGGGAGGACCCCACGAAAAGGTACACTGCAAGAATTCAGGTGAGTGAGCGGGGCCGGGAGGGGTGGTTTGGGGGTTGGCTCGCCGGGGGACAGCGGCGATCTGGACACTCCGTGGCAGACGGGCCGGGACGAGAAAATGTGAGGAATGGGGCCCTGTGCTGTGCTGCCAGGTGCCCATTCAATGATGGCATGGGCAGGGTCCCAAAAAAATGGTCAGCCGCACTCACCCGCCGGAAGTATCTGCTCATTGGCGGATTCCACCACCATGGCCAGGTTGACCTGGTTGAGGGATGGCGACAGGGGCCCGAGTGACAAGGCGTGCGCATGCATGCGAGAAGCGCTGCACAGGGCGGGTTCAGAAACAATAAAATCCGCAAGCAAGAGCTGCTGTGACGGTGCATTCGCTTATGCCACACACCACGTCATCACGCGCGGAAAATAAACGGAGTGCTCACCAGAAACGCCGTGCGGACGCGCGCCGCTGCCTGCATCGCTGCCATGTTGACGCTGCCGGACAGCGCGCGCTTGTGTGTTGCGGCGGCACCGCCCCGATCCGGGCTGTGAGAGCCGCTGCGCAGCGTCTGCGGCTCCGCTATGCCGACAGTAAAGGAAGCGGAGCCGCGGCGCTTTGCGCAAAGGAGCCCAGGGTGCGCCAGCTTTGCCTCAATCCAGCCCGCCTGTGCTGACGCACCACCACCGTCCGAGTGCCACGCGCCGCTGCACTGCCCCCTTGCGGCCTCGGTTGGATAGAGGGTGGTAAAGCGCTGCAAACGAGGGTCCCGCGAGTCCTCGAACGCGCCTAGTGTGTTTGCTCTGGGACGCGGACAAATCAGCGAGTGCAGAGCTCCAACTGCCACCACGTATTAGCGCAGTCGGGATGAGGACAATAACGTGGCTACATAGGGGTCCCAACGAGCATCCTGAGCGCGATCACAACCTGATCAAGGAGACAATTGTGTGACCTTGCTTTGCTTGTTTCTTCGCTCGCAATCAGGCCACGTTCTGATCGGATGGGAGCGGTCTTTTGGAAAATCTGCGTCAGGCTATGGGCTCGTCGCTCTCGATATCCTAGGTCACTTGGTGACGTGCTGCTGGAGCCAAGGTCACGCATCAAGCACAGCCCCATTGTGCCCGCTGGTGTGAACCCTCAAGAAATGTTAATAGCTAAGCTACATGCCAACATGTTGCCAGGGGCTGTAACGCCGGCAGACCTGCAGCGAATCTAGGAAGAGATCACAATCTCCAAGCAGGTCAAGCCCACCAAGTTGACCGCTTGCACCACAGCGCGAGACAGTCGGCTTGGCTTGCCACTCATGAAAACGGTGGAACTGCTGTGTTGCTGAACGATGATGCGGCTTGAAGGGACCTACTCCAAGCATGGCACACACGCTCACAGGCACTTCAAGCTGAGGCACTGTGCAGAAGGCGTGTGGCTGGCAGCTGAAGCAACATGCTGCAAAGCCTTGCCAGGATGGATGTACAGAGTAGGTGGATACCATGTGGTAAAGCTGTGACAGGACACCCGCAACACCCACAGTTTGTGCCTCGAGAAAGCTGCATTCCATCCGCTCAGGCGCTCGAAACAGACCTGCGTGCACAACTAGCAGCAACTGCGCCTGCACCTTGGGCGCGACGTTCTCCAAGCACGAATAAGGAACGATTAAGGAACCGCTCCGTGCGGCCCCGAGCGCATGCACGCCACCCCTGTGCATGAGCTCGGTCGGGCCCTCCACTGCAACATCTGCCAGACACACCAGAAGGATCGCCCAGGCGCGAAGCGGCGGCAAGAGGGCCAGGTCAGCTGGCACTTGACAAGGACGCAAGCTTTGTGAGGCTCCATGCACCTGCACATTTCAGGCCATTTTGGAGCCACCCCCGCGCCTGGCTAATGTCAAGGTCCCTTGAGAAGCGTGCACCCACGCGGCAATTTGCTGCACCAGCTGGGTGCATGCCAGCTGGTGTTTGATGCGTTCCGCTCCCCTCCTCCTCGCCGCCGAAGAAACTTCCTCCCTGCTCCGCCCCATCCGCACGGCGGCTGCCGTGCCAGGGGCCCGTGCGGCGGCTGCGCGTCCGCAACTCAATTACCATGCAACTGCAGCGAAACTGCGAACTGCGCAACTGCCCATGTGCACCTGCCAACCGCGCAACTGCCGCCGCGTAACCGCCAATTCTCGCCTGTGTACCACAGCGAGGAGGCAGAGAACTAGTACCTCTCCAGCAATGAGATAACGGGCAACCAGGCTTATCGGCGGCGCAGGGGCCCACCTGCACGCGGCGCGCTCGCCGCCGCCTGCGGCACAAACCAGAAGAGCCACCTTGTTGTGTGGCGCCCGAGCCCTGGATGGACAATGTGCTCGGCCGTTTTAGGGTCGCCATTGTGAATTACGATGTTTGGTATGCAAGCGTCCGGGTACTGAGGTACAGTCAACGGCCCAGCATTACCAAGCGCGACCTTTTGACCAGTGTTGTATGCCACTGACATGTTTCATGTGTGTTTTCTGTGGCCCCTCATTGAGACATCAGATTGGTGGAGGCTAGGTAGCGTTTCGGTCAGAGCAGCCTATCTGCCCGGCGCGTGGCCCTCCGTTGGCTGGACCTTGCGGCCACTGGTGTGAAGTGTGCAGGTCTGGCACCTGCTTGAAGTCGAATCCGCACACACGTCGAAGGATTACAGCATGAATCAAAGATCATAACAAGGCATATCATGCATCAAGTATGTCCGCAATCCACCCAATCAAGCGGCCCGCCCTTCAGTTGTGCTGCGATCTCAGCCGAGTCTGTCATTTCACGCACGTGCTTTCGGCGATATTATCCGGTTTGCTGGCATGTGTTGGTGCTATGAGACCGCTACTGCCTCTCCCAGCAGCCCATATAGCGATGCGCGTGGCCAGAGTGCCGCACTGGGCGTCCGCAGCAACGGCGCACATAGGCATGCGCGCAGCACTTCCTCAGCACTCGCCCCTACGCCGCAGCGTATGGCTGGTGGCGTACGAATCAGAGCCATCACCTTTCTTGCCAGCTTCAGCGGCCACTGGCAATGAGACGCTGGTGGAGGCACAGCGGCGCGAACTCTCGCATGGTCCTGACACATGGACGATGCGGGCAATGCGGGCGCTCAACGGACGCGCGCTGCGACGGCACGGCGCCTGAGAGGGAGCCTTGCAGTGTGGCGCGTGCGGCAGGTGAGGATGGGGAGAGGATGGGGTCGGCCTGGAGCAGCTCGGGCTGGCTGCAGACATATGAAGGGGTGAGAGAGCGTCCCTTGCGCCCCTAAGCACACTGCTTGATTCGCGATCCTGAAGGGGCGCAACAGCTGCTGATCCCAATTTTCTATGCAATGGAAGTGTCTACTGCCACCCCGCTGCAGCAGCTCAGCCATGCGGTCGTCGCAACAACAGGCACACCGCCAAAGTGGCCACCGCGGCGGCGCCAGCGCACAGTTTCGTACCAGCCTCTAGCCTCTTGCTGGTCACAACGTACCTGATCATGTCATGAAAATCCACCAGGCAAGCTTCAGCAGCGGGAAGGACCGGGGGCGCAACCGGCGACATTCCATATTGGCTGTGCCTTCGCCCTCTCCAGGCCCAGTCGGTTGGTTCTCGCGTTCACCCAGTCCTTGTTAGTCTTCTGAAATATCACCGATTTTCCTTGTGACCGAGCTCCCGACGACGGTCGCCTCGAGCCTTGACTTGCTCTGCAGCCCCGACCCGCCCGGCTTGCAGCGGGGTCCTGCTGTCTTGAAAAAGACTGACATCTATTTCTATAGGTACGCAGGGGCGCGCTGTGCTCAGGCGGGCGCGGGCCAGGGGCACGCAGCAGTGCGCTCACCAACGAAAAAAAAAACTGCTATTGCGTGCATGATAGTTTGCGTCAGCCGCAGGCTCAGGGCGTGCATTACACCCTGTGGGTGTCCATCTGAGCCGCCGCGCACCCTGACCCGCCGCAGGCTGACTGGGGCCTGTTGTGGGGGGGTGTGCAGCGGCAATGGTGGGCGGCGGCGGGACGCGCGGGAGTCTCGCGCCGCTGGCCGCAGTGGGCGGCAACCTGGCGCGGAGCGCCGGCCCTGTGCTGACCTGTGCGGCAGCGGCTGCCGCCAGCATGTGGTTGGCCAAATGCAACAGGGTGCGTGCGGCGGAGGGTTTAGGCAGGCGTGGTGGCGGGGGCGCAGATGCGTGTGTCTGCTGTCCGGTCCGGTTGCATCAGTGCACTCTTGCGTGCGACTGCACACCGCACTGGGCTGCCTGCAGCACTCCATGCTGCTTGATCTCACCTGTCGTCATGAGCGCTTGAATTTTCACATGCTGCGGCCTTGGCCGATCCACCCCAGGCGCGCAAGGTGGAGGCGGCGGCCCTTGAGCGACGCAGGGCTGAGCTGGCGGCGTACAACGCAGCCCTCCAGGCCACAGAGCAGGTGAGGGCGTCGCGCGTGTACGCGCCTGCGTGCGGAGATGCATGCGTTTGCACGCGCCTGTGCTGGTGTCTTTTGTCTGCTGGGGAAGTGGGGCAAAGTTGAGGGTGTGGTATGGTTATTCTTAGCAACATCGTACACAGGTTTGATAGGGGGGCAAACTGGTGCTGTCCTCCTGATGGCCGAGGGAGGGGTACGGGCGCTGCATGTCTTTTAGCCAGCCTGATTCGCCAGCATCAGCACCGCCTGTGAAGAGCTGATCGAGCACCGGAAGGATGCGCGGATTCGAACCTCCCTCTCCTCTGCAGCTCTCACCCCCCCACTGTAACATGGCCCTGCTGGCCTCTCGCCTTGCCGCAGGATCTGGAGAAGGCTTGGCAAGTGTTGGAGGAGGAGGATCGCAGGCGCCACGCCGTGAAGGCTGTCGTGGACAACATCTTCACCGAGATCCGCGTGCGAGAGGCGCATGAGCTCATCACCGCCGCCCAGGCTCAGGCGGCGGCGGTGCACCAGGTGCGTGGATGGGTGGGAGTGCGTGAAGCCACAACATTTGTAAGTGTGTTTGTCTGCGTGTGAGAGAGAGAGGGAAAGAGAGAGAGTGCGAGTGTGTGTGTGTGTGTTTGTGTGTGTGTGTTTGTGTGTGTGTGTGTGTGTGTGTGTGTGTGTGTGTGTGTGTGTGTGTGCGCGCGCGCGCGCGTGCGGTCATTGTATTGGAGGGGTGGTGCAACCCAACGCGCACTGACACTTTTTGCGCCACGCAAGGGTTATGGCACCAAATAGGCTAGCCGACAGTGCAGCCGCTATGAAAGGGTGGCAAGGGGTACTACAGCAGGCCAAAGCATCGGCGCATTCAAATCCAGCCAGTGCGGAAGCTCAGCGACATGCACACTCCAGCCATGTCACACACCGCTGGCCCTCCAAAACTCAACCAACCACACTGAATTCGTCGACCCCAACCCGACCACACCACAGGAGGCCGAGGCCGCGTGCTCCAGGGCGGTGCGGGTCGAGGCCTCTTCCAGGCGGCGCAGCGCCAAGCTGGGGGCGCGAGAGGCCGCGCTGAGGACGGGCGAGGCGCGGATGAGGAGGCGC